TTCTCAATGACAGGCTTCAAGCTGCAGTTCCCAGGACCTCCTCTTTGGGCTTCATTAATTTGAACACTCACTTAGGTTTAACTGGTTTATTATAAAGGATATTACCAAGGATACATATGAAGTGGTGCACAGGGTGAGGGATGGAGAGGGGATACAGAGTTCTATGCCCTCCCCAGGCGTACCACCCTCCAGAAACTTCCATCTGTTAGGCTATCCAGAAGTTCTCTTGGGCGTTTCGTAGAGATTTCACTGGAGAGAGATGATTGAAGCATGGCCAACCTCACAGTACTTGACTGGATAAAGAGTGTGATCTAATACTAGCAGACTGAGTGCAGAAACCCAGCAAGGCCCGTCCAGATTCTCCTTGGCCTCTCTGTATTCCTCCCTCGCAGGTAAGGGGCAGGACCCCTTTTGAAACAGGGATCTTATAACCTACAATTAGACAAGAGATGTCAGAGATTTATTTACGGCTAGCTCTAAGACAGAAAGGCAGGGGATGATTAGAGGACAAGAGACAGACAGAGCTTCTGTTTTCCGAGGCCTGCTTCTGAGGCTTAGAGCACCCCAACATTCTAACAAAAGACTGTCTTTCGGCCGGGCGTGGTGGCTTAAGCCTGTAATCCCAGCACTTTGGGAGGCCGAGAGGTGGCAGGCACCTGTAGTCCCAGCTACGCGGGAGGCTGAGGCAGGAGAATGGCGTGAACCTGGGAGGTGGAGCTTGCAGTGAGCTGAGATCCGGCCACTGCACTCCACCCTGGGTGACAGAGCCAGACTTCGTCTCAAAAAAAAAAAAAAAAAAAAAAAAAGACTGTCTTTCACCTTTACTGCTCTGAAGCTGTTCCAAGGCCACTTCAGGAACCAGGGACAAAGGACAAATACTTTAACGAAAGTTATGCTTACTGTTTTAGTCACTTAGGAAGTAATAAGGACTATGGCAGTTATGAGCCAGGAACCATGGCCAAAACCGGCATTACAGGTCACAGTATCATAATAGGTCATCTAGAGATGATTTAAAGTATATGGGAGAATATGCATAGATTACATGCAAATACTACACCATTTTATATAAGGAACTTGAGCATCTGTGAATTTTGGTATATGCAGGGGGTTCCGAAACCAATCCCCCAAAGACACTGAGCGATGACTATATTTATGAAGCTAATAAAGTATTGTTATATTACTTTATTGAACAAGTATTTGCTGAATGCCTACTGTGTGCCAGATGCAATGCTAAGCACTAGGTGAACACACAATGGTCCCCCCATCCAAACAAGTAAATATACATTTATCATTGCAACTTGTAATTATTTGAGGGAAAGTAAATCAAGGTGATATGAGACACAAAAAGAACTTACGTTAGTTAGATTTACTGAAGAGGAAAGGTGACTTTGAAAAGGGACAAAGCCTTCAAGAAGAGAACAGGTGGCCAGGTGTGGTGGCTCACGCCTGTAATCCCAGCAGCAGGCAGATCACCTGAGGTCAGGAATTGAAGACCAGTCTGGCCAACATGGAAACACTGTCTCTACTAAAAATACATAAATTAGCTGGGCATGGTGGCACACACCTGTAATCCCAGCTACTTGGTAGGCTGAAGCAGGAGAATCCCTTGAACCCAGGAGGCAGAGGTTGCAGTGAGCTGAGACTGCACCACTGGACTCCAGCCTGGGTGACAGAGCGAGACTCCATCTCAAAAACAAACTTAAAAAATACAATAAAAAGAAGGGAACAGGGTGAGGGCGAGGAGGAAAGTATACCAGACAGAGGGTATCGCAATGCAATTGTCCTCAGGAAGTGCTTAGAAGGTTAGAGGAGAAGGAAACACCTGTCAGTGGAAAGTGTGTGTCTGGGAGGTTGGGAGAGTGGCAAGTGGTCAGGCTGGGGAGTAGGTGAGGTTTTACAGGGTCTTGCAGGTCCTGGTAAGAGATGGAGATTTCCTCTACGTGCAATGGAAAGTCAATGAAGGGTTTTACCCAGGAGTGACATGTTCCAGTCATTACTTAAGATCACTCCAGTTGCCATGTGGAGAACAGAATGGAGGCTGGGGAAGAGTGAACACTCAAAGGCTATTGCTTAATCCAGCCCAGAGGTGATGGACTACAAAGCTGACAGTGGAGATGGTGAAAAGTAGCTGCATTCAAAATACATTCTAGGGTGGAGACAACAGGACCATTGACGGACTGGATTTACGGAGTGAGGAGAGAGGGCTAGATTTTTGGTCTATGCAATTGGATAGATGATGAGAAGAGGCTAGAACACACCTTTGGGAACCATCAGCACACAGATGGGTTAAACGACAGAGCGTGGAGAGAAAGGGTCCCAGGACTGAGCCCTAAGATACCTCAACACTTAGACATCAAGCAAGGGAGGAACGGGACCCAGGGAAGGATACTGTGAAGTAGTCCTTGATGTAGGAGGAAATATCACAAAGGAACATATATCACGAAGAAAGGAAAGTTTCTAGAGTTTCTGTATTAACCACTGCTGAGAGATCAAAAAAGTTGAGGCCAGAAAATCAACCTCTGGATTTGACAAAATGGAGGGATAGGTTTTTGGTTTTTTTTTTTTAATGAGTCTTGCTCTGTTACCCAAGCTGGGGTGCAGTGGCACAATTTGGTTTTCTGCAACCTCTGCCTCCCGAGTTCAAGTGATTTTCCTGCCTCAGTCTCCTGAGTAGCTGAGATTACAGGTGCCCACCACCACACCCAGCTAATTTCTGTATCTTTAGTAGACACGGGGTTTTGCCATGTTGGCCAGGCTGGTCTCAAACTCCTGACCTCAGGTGATTCACCCATCTTGGCCTCTTAAAGTGCTGAGATTACAGGTGTGAGCCACCGCGCCCCCTGGATCAGGTAACCTTAACATTCATTTCTGTAGACCAGTGAGGAAGAAAGCCCAACAGAATGGTTGAGAGAAAGAGGGGCTAATCAGCACTTTCAAGAAGTTTTGTTGGGATGGGAAGCAGAAATGGAGTAAGAGGTGGACATGCGGCCAGGCGCGGTGGCTCACGCCTGTAATCCTAGCACTTTGAGAGGCCAAGCTGCGTGGATTGCCTGAGCTCAAGAGTTCGAGACCAGCCTGGGCAACATGGTAAAACCCCATCTCTACTAAAATTCCAAAAAGAAAAATTTAGCCGGGTGTGGTGGCGTGCACCTGTAGTCCCAGCTACTCAGGAGGCTGAGGCAGGAAAATTGCTTGAACCCAGGAGGCGGAGGTTGCAGTGAGGCAAGATGGTGCTACTGCACTCCAGCCTGGCAACAGAGCAAGACTCCATCTCAAAAAAGATGAATACACTAAAGCAGGATTGTATGCTCACAGGAAATGCTTTAGAAAATAGGGAAAAATGAGTAATGATGGCTTGTACTAGAATAAAATATATTAATAGTTTTTGAGGTTGCAGACGAAATCCCATCAGTAGGTTGCAAAATTAATTCAGTCGGTCAACTTATATTTATTTTTTTTAGACAGTCTTGCTCTGTCACTCTGGCAGGAGTGCACTGGCTGGATCTCAGCTCATTGCAGTCTCCTGGGATCAAGCGATCCTCCCATCTCAGCCTCATAAGTAGCTGAGACTTCGGGCATGCACCACCACACCCAGCTAACTTTTTAATTTTTTGCAGAGACAGGGTCTCCCTATGTTGCCCAGGCTGGTCTCCACCTCCCAGGCTCAAGTGATCCTCCTGCCTAAGCTTCCCAAAGTGCTGGCATTACTGATATGAGCCACCACGCTTTGGCCCCCTTCATTTTAATTAAAAAATAGACAATATGAGAGTATACTCCACACATTATTGTTTCATGAGCCTTTCATTTCAGTTACACAGACATATTATGTTAAGTCAAAAAAAAAAAAAAAAAAAAAAAAAACAAGGAGCCAGGTGAGGTGGCTCACGCCTGCAATCCCAGCACTTTGGGAGTACAAGGCAGGAGGATCACTTGAGCTTAGGATCACTTGAGATGAGCCTGGGCTGTAGTGAGACCCTCTGTCTACAAAAACTTTTTTTAAAAAAAATTAACAGTGAGTGATGGTGTGGGCCTGTAGTCCCAGCTACCAGAGAGGCTGAAGCAGGATTGCTTGAGTCCAGAAGGTCGAGGCTGCAGTGAACCATGATTACACCACAGCACTCCCACCTGGGGAACACAGCAAGACTCTGTTTCTTGAGAAAAAACAAAATTAATTAAATAAAAATATAAACATCTGAAATGCCATAGTACATATAACCATTAAACATGAGGCAAGAGGACATGAAGGAAACTATCAATCAGTTCACAGGGAACACAAGAGAGATAATATCTACAAGTTAATATCAATCATATAAAGCCCACATTCAGAGTAAATGCAAAAACTTCCATTTGCACGAGGCGCAAGGAGCAACCATGGAAAAGACCACGTGGAGTTAAATTGTCAGAAAACCTTTTACCCTCGCCTGCACACACCCACACACCCCGTGCTGTTTCTCTGGTCCCAGTCCTGGCTCACATCCTTCCCTTCTCCACCCAAAAACTCACCGTTTCCCTCACAGTGTTGACTGCTCCCATCAAACTCTGAGAGCAGCTCTTCTGAGTAAGGGCTCCCCAGGGCCCAGTGAGGCAAGCAGAGCTCTACCCGGCCCTGATTCGTCTTTTCTCCAGCTACTTTCAGGGCGGACAGACTCAGGCCTTTATAGCCTTCTAAGTCCCGTCTCGGATACCAGGCTGGGCTCCACCCCCGCACTGTGACCCAAAAACGCTGGTAAATGAATGAGAGAAAGAGGGGGCACATTGAAAGGCAGCCGGACACGGAGGTGCTCGGCTCCGCACCCCAGACACAGGGTGTGGAGGGGAAGCGAAAGTTCGGAGGGGCAAAGCGAGAGTCCAGTTCATCCCCGTCCCCACCCCGGGACCCTCCCGGACAGGGCCGGCCCTCACTCCCCAACGACGGTCGCCCAGTCCCCAAGGCTCTCGGCTCTCAGCAGTCCAACCGTTAGGCTCCTCGGCCCAAAAGGGACGCGCCCGAGGAGACTTACACTTCCATGACATCCAGACTCGTCGCCTCTGGCTGCCAGCAGACAAGGAACTTCACACTCTACAGCTGTCCCCGCCGCCGTCCACGGCGCCAAGGTGCCAGCTCCGCACTCCAAGGTGCACGCCAGGCGCGCCGCACAGCATGCCGGGGGCTTGGCGGACTCGCAACCTGGCGCCGCCAGTTCCCCATTCTCGGCGGGGCGGGTAGGGGAGTGTTCCAGTATCCTTTGCCCAGGCCGACTTCAGACTGCTAAGCGTTTGCGGACAGGATTCTCTCGTGTTTTCTATTATTTGTTTGCTTGTTTGTTTGTTTTTGTTTTGAGACGGAGTCTTGCTCTGTCGGCTGGCGGGAGTGCAGTGGCGCAATCTCGCTTCACTGCAGCCTCTGCCTCCCGGGTTCAAGCAATTCCCTGCCTCAGCCTCCCAAGTAGCTGGGATTACAGGCACCTGCCACCAGCTAATTTTTGTATTTTTTAGGAGAGACGGTGTTTCACCATCTTGGCCAGGCTGGTCTTGACCTCCTGACCTCATGATCCACCTGCCTCAGCCTCCCAAAGTCATGGGATTACAGGCATGAGCCACCGTGCCCAGCCACCTGGCTTTTTTTTTTTTTTTTTTCAGACGTAGTCTCTCTCTGTTGCCCAGGCTGCAGTGCAGTGGCGTGATCTCGGCTCACTGCAAGCTCTGCCTCCCAGGTTCACGTCATTCTCCTGCCTCAGCCTCCTGAGTAGCTGGGACTACAGGGGCTCGCCACCACGCCCGGCTTTTTTTTTTTTTTTTTTTTAATAGAGACGGGGTTTCACCGTATTAGCCAGGATGGTCTCGATCTCCTGACCTCGTGATCCACTCGCCTCGGGCTCCCAAAGTGCTGGGATTACAGTTGTGAGCCACCACGTCCGGCCCCATCTGGCTAATTTTCTAGGGGGGAAAAAAATTATTGTCCAAAGGGTCAGCTAGAATTTTTAAAAATTTTTTTTGTAATGATGGGAGAGTCTCTATGTTGCACAGGCTGGTCTTGAACTCCTAGCCTCAAGTGATCCTCGCACCACCACCTCCCAAAGTGCTGGGATTACAGGTGTGAGCCACCACAATAGTCTCTGTTCCCTACTTTGTAAATAATAAATGTGTCAGATAATCCTTATAAAGTGCCTGGCACTTTATTAAGTACTGTGGCAATACAACCATGACTATGAAGTAGATTCCATTATTATTGACATTTTACAATTGAAGAAACCGAGGCAGACTTGGAGAGATTATGATTTACCAAAAGTCACTCACCTAGGAACTTGTCCAGTGGATACTGAACCCCAGTCAATCTGAAGAAATACAAGGGATGCATTAACTAGAGACTAATGAGTAGATGAATAAAATGTGCTACATTTATATAATGGAAAACTACTTAAAAATAAAAAGGAGGCCAGGCTTGGTCCCAATACTTTGGGAGGCAGAGGCAGGAGGATTTTTTGAGACCAGGAGTTCCAGACCAGCCTGGGCAACATAGCCAGACCCCCTCTCTATGAAAAGTTAGCCTGGTGTGTGGTGGTGAGCACTGGTAGTCTCAGTTACTGGGGAGGCTGAGGCGGGAGAATCACTTAAGTCAGGAGGTCAAGGCTGCAGGAGCTATGATCGCACCACTGCACTCCAGCCTACAGAGTGAGAGACCTTGTTGCAAAAAATGCATATAACATATAAATAGATCAATAGATAACATGCTACAACATGGATAACCTCCCAAAACATGATGCTGTTGATGATTGAAAGACGCCAGACACAAAATAATACATATCACCTGGCCGGGTGGCTCATGCCTGTAATGCCAGCACTTCAGGAGGCTGAGGTGGGTGGATCATCTGAGGTCAGGAGTTCAAGACCAGCCTGGCCAACATGGTGAAACCCCGTCTCTACTGAAAATACAAAAATTGCCAGGCACAGTGGCTCACACCTGTAATCCCAGCACTTTGGGAGGCCAAGGCAGACAGATCACAAGGTCAGGAGTTTGAGACCAGCCTGGCCAACATAGGGAAACCCCGTCTCTGCTAAAAATACAACAATTAGCCAGCCATGGTGGCAGGCGCCTGTAATCCTAGATACTCAGGAGGCTGAGGCAGGAAAATTGCTTGAACCCGGGAGGTGGAGGTTGTGGTGAGCTGAGATCACAGCACTGCACTCCAGCCTGGGTGACAGAGCAAGACTCTTTCTCAAAAAAAAAAAAAAAAAAAGAAAAAAAGAAAACATACTGTATGATTCACTTTATATAGAATGTCCAAGAAGAGGCCAATCTACAGATACAGAAAGAAGGCTAGGAGAGCGGTTAGGGGCAGGGATGGGCAGTGACTGCTAATAGATACAGAGTTTCTCTTTGGGAAACAAAAATGTCCTAAAAGTATTATGGATGGTGATGGTGGTTTCACAACCCTGTGAATACACTAAAAACATTGAGTTGTACACTTTAAATGGCAAATTGTATGTCATGTGAATCCTACATTAATAAAGCTGTTAAACATTTTTTACTCTGCTGAGCGTGGTGGCCGACACCTGTTATCCCAGCACTTTGGAAGATGAAGGCAGGTGGATCGCTTGAGCCCAGTTTGAGACCAGCCTGGGCAACGTGGCAAAACCGCATCTTTACCAAAAAAAAAAAAAAAAAGAAAAGAAATTAACCAGCATGGTGGCTCGCACCTGTAATCCCAGCTACTCAGGAGGCTGAGGAAGGAGAATCGCCCGAACCCGGGAGGAGAAGGTTGCAGATCGCACCACTGCACTCCAGCCTGGGCGAAAGAGCGAGACTCCATCAGAAAACAACAATAACAACAACAAAAAGTACATAAAATGCCACCCAGACCCAGCTGGCCTGGTTAGTGTGGAGAATTCCCTGTACCTTTGTTGAGAAGATCGGGCCCCACAAAGAAATGCTAAAGATGCTCCTTGTGTTATTCACTCAACAAATATGTGGCCATGGCCCATTGGGGGCTGATGATACAAATGTGACTAATACACACCCTCTGCACTGGCTAGCTGACAGCCTAGTTGGGGAACCAGCTCTGGACATAAATAACTACAATGTATTGTGTTTCCACATGATGGGGCAGAGGAGGGAATGACTAATGAGGTGGAGACGCATCCCAAAGCCAGGAGCCTTTGAAGTGGGTGAGGGGAAAAGCACACAAGGCCTAGGGATTGGGTACGGGTTTCAGTGGAGAAGAGCAGTGCCTCTGACAGCCCCCATGATAAAATGGCTCAGGTGTGACTTAGAGTAGGGAGTTAGCTGGGTGTTCAAATGGTACCCACTAGGTTAGGTGCGGTGGCTTACGCCTGCCATCCCATCATTTCAGAAGGTCGAGGTGTTCGGAAGGGTGGATCACTTGAGTCCAGGAGTTCAAGACCAGCCTGGCCAACATGGTGAAACCCTGTCTCTACTAAAAATACAGAAATTAGGCGGGGATGGTGGCGGGCATCTGTAATCCCAGCTACTCAGGAGGCTGAGGTAGGAGAACTACTTGAGCCCGGGAAACAAAGGTTGCAGCAAGCCAAGTAAAAGTTCTTTTTACTGTCTGCCCCTCTGGCCCTGGATAGTAGCTGATCGCCATTACAATTAAGGGAATGGGCCTTGAGATGAAAAGCAAAGATTATCCTGGATTTTAGAGATGGTATCAAGTTAATCACAGGGGTCATTAAAAGCATAGAATCATTCTCAGCTAATGTCAGAACCCAAGGGAGGTGTGGCTAGGGAAGAATGGTCTGAGAGATGCAATGTTCCTGCCTTTGATGGCAGAGGAAGGGACCATGAGCCAAGGAGTATAGGTAACCACTAGAAGTTGGAAAAAGCAAAAAAAAATTCTCCTCTGAAGCTTCCAGAAAGGACTGCAGCCCTACCAACACCTTGATTTTAGCCCAGTGAGACTCATGGAGGACTTCTGTATTAGTCCATTCTCACACTTCTATAAAGAAATACCTAAGGCCAGGCGCAGTGGCTCACATCTGTAATCCCAGCATGTTGGGAGGCCGAGGCGGGCAGATCATGAGGTCAAGAGTTTAAGACCAGCGTGGCCAACATGGTGAAACCCCGTCTCTACTAAAAAAAAAAAAAAAAAATTCAAAAAAAAAATTAGCTGGGCCTGGGGGTGCACGCCTGAAATTCCAGCTACTGGGGAGGCTGAGGCAGGAGAATTGCTTGAACCAAGGAGGCGGAGTTTGCAGTGACCTGAGATTGCACCACTGCACTCCAGCCTGGGTGACACACACACTCACAAAAAAAAAAAGTAAAAAGAAAAAAAGAAATACCTGAGACTAGGTAATTTATAAAGAAAGGTGGTTTAATTAGCTTACAGTTCCACAGGCTCTAGAGGAAGCATGGCAGCATCTGCTTCTGGGGAGGCTTCAGGGATCTTCTACTTATGGTGGAAGGCAAGGGGGAGCAGGACCAAGAGAGGAGGGGAGGAGCTACATAATTTTATTATTATTATTTTATTTCTCTATTTTTTTTTGAGACGGAGTCTCCGTCTGTCGCCCAGGCTGGAGTACAGTGGCGCGACCTCGGCTCACTGCAACCTCCACCTCCCAGGTTCAAGTGATTCTCCTGCCTCAGCTTCCTGATTAACTGGGATTATAGGCATGCACCACCATGCCCAGCTAATTTTTAGTAGAGACAGGATTTCACTGTGTTGGCCAGACTGGTCTCAAACTCCTGACCTCGTGATCTGCCTGCCTCGGCCCCCCGACAAAGTGCTGGGATTACAGACGTGAGCCACCATGCCTGGTCCTATTTAATTTTTTTGAGACAGATTCTCACTCAATCGCCCAAGCTGGAGTGCAGTGGCGAAATCTCGACTCACTGCAACCTTCACCCCCTGGGTTCAAGTGACTCTCCTGCCTCAGCCTCCCGAGTAGCTGGGATTACAGGCACGCACAACCACACCTGGCTAATTTTTGTATTTTTAGTGGAGACAGGGTTTTACCATGTTGGCCAGGCTGGTCTCCAACTCCTGACCTCAGGTGATCTGCCTACCTTGGCCTCCCAAAGTGCTGGGATTACAGGCATCAGCCACCGCGCCTGGCCAGAGCTGCACACTTTTAAAGAGCTAGGTGTTGTGAAAACTCACTCATTATTGCAAGAACAGCACCAAAGGGATGGTCCTATACCATTCATGAGAACTTCGCCCCCATG